CCCAAAACCCCAAAACCCCAAAACCCCAAAACCCCAAAACCCCAAAACCCCATGGAGAGAATATCATGTTGACATCATTATGAACAAAATTTATCCAATATGTCCGAGTATTCGTTCAGCAGCATTTGGATGTCTCTTTGGTAGTAGTCGTAGTTCGTCACTGCCTTCTTTCTGTTTAGCAGCAGAGACATTAGGTCGAAGGCTCTCGCTGCCTCTTCTTGTGTCGAGTAAGTACTTATGTAGGTCTTCTTGTTGCGGATATTGATGAAGGCCTGCCATTTCAAACCGTTCTTGAACACTCCAGTGTAACGAGACCTTCTGGAGCTGACTCTAGGAACGTGGGAGTTTGTCTTAGATTTTCCGCATACGAAGGGTCTTGAAGGATCACTGATGTTGTTCAAATGGTAGTACAGTTGTGCAAGCTTTCTATGGAGATAAATTGTGCTACCACTTCTGGATCTTACTGTACTTGATGTGCCTCCTGAGCTTAATTTTATTACAGATGGTTGTCTCTCTTCAAAACTTTGATACTGAGCTTTTCAAATTTTGCTCGTATCATTTAGTGAGCCTGCTGAGTCTCATAAGCAATAAGAAGTAAGGTTTGAGTCTCCAAGACAATAATCTGCTAATAACTTTTTCAATGTGAGCCCATTACATTGACTGAATAACAGTGTTTGATCATCATGCAGAGAACACCCTGCATTACTATTTTCTAAGGATTTCGAAAAATCAAAGTTGTATGTGTTCATGATAAATTTATTTATATTATTTGCTTCTGAATTAGTTCTTTAAATAGCTTCTAAAGAACTATTTGAATAGCAAAATTTGAGGAGTAACTTACCTTAGTCATAATTTTCATGACTCAGAGAACTGAAAAAGGAAGCTTTTGGTGTTTATGTTCATCTAATTAAATGAACTCTTGTTATTGTTTCTACCAGAAAATCTTCGAATTCGGAATAATTTCTCAGCAAAATTTGGAGATAAGTGAAACAAGGCATCTCTCCCAATATGATTAAATCGATTTCTTAAGAATTAATTATCCCTCTCAGATGTCAAATCATCATTTATTCTAATATTCAGGCTAGTTCCGAATCCAATCTGGATGAGTTCAAACATTTTTGGACAATCGTTACAAAAATTACTACAGTTTAATCAATGTTAATGCAGCAAACCCTTAAAGACAGAGGCAGAGATAGCCCAGACTTTTATATGCCCTTGCAAGGACTATTTATTTAGAGCCTCTCAGGATGCAAAAGATCGATATTATAGCGATCTAAAAGAGCATATCTAGCAGTATAGTTTTTTGGCATATTTCTTCACTTATTTACCGAGTCAGGCTTTTTGAATAATGATAGAGTGAGCATCATCAGCTGGAATAACTAGTATTGGTCAGAGTGTTATGATGATGCTAGGTCTTCATCTGTCTGTCAAAAGATGGCCTTCTCGAGTTGTAGATGTTCCAATCATCTTTGATAAGATCATGGCTGGGATTATTTCATGCCAACTTAAAATGCTAGGGAAGCAGCTATCTCTAAGTAATTATTAAATTTGATTCCTTATTTATAGAATTTTACGCAAGAAAAATTATGGCGGATGTCCAGTGTATGTAACCTCTTAATTTCTTTTATTTCATATTTAAAAGCATTTATTTCTGATTCGGAATTCAATAAGAGCTTTAAGGAAGCTTAAATATCTCAGAAAAATTACCTAGGACTTCCTCATTTTGCTTAAAATCTCCTCCAGGGTTGGACTACATTCAGTTTAATATAAGGTGCCTAAATCGTTCCATATACAAAGAACTTCGAAAGGCATTAAAATTATTGCATTGAAAGAAGATTTATTCCAGCTCTTGAGTCGATTCATAGCCAAAAAGTAGCATTAATAACAAAGAGAGACAGCTTATTCAGGGGCATGAGAATACTTAGTGATGCTTGCTTAATTTACCCCTTCTATCATTGATAACAAGGATGCTAATTCCCCAAAGGAAGAACTCTGGCTGATTCAGAGTCGCATGATATAATTTTTCAACTCAGTTATTTGCCATTTTGCTCGAAAACAACAAAGAAGGTTGTTGGTGCAAAGTTCTTAACATACCCAATTTTTCTAAAATTTTGGCCTGAAGTCTATTGTGCAAGAATAATAAAATTTACACCTAAATCAAATTATACAAAAATATTCCCAGATAGTTTTAAGGGATGAATAGAAGTCCTTTACTTGCCTTAGCTCGCTACAAGTATTCTCTCAATATGCTCTAAGCCATGGCCAAGTCTAAAAGCTCCGATATTAAACTGGGATTATCGAACTTTCCCACGAAGCGCTATTTCCGAAGTTCCTCAGCCCAAACTTTTCAATGCTTGCTTAACACAGAAGGAGTCATGAAGGCCATTATCAAAAAGAAGATGAAGATTGTCATAAAATCTAGTGACAAAATAATTAGGTTATCACCTCCGATCCAGTATGGATAGGACTACCATGCTCAAATCAGGTTGGAGATATCATTCGTGAGGGATTTTCTCAATTCATGCCATCGGTGTCTTTATGACTTGGGTGATCAGATCTCTATTTTAGGACTCGAATACTTCACAATAAGTCTCGTGCATCTTTAGTTGCTGTTCAATAATCTTTAACATAAAAACCTATTTAGGATTTAATGTAGGTTCTTTATATGTAAATTTTTTACAACCTATTGAACTTTGCCAGAAAACTTGAAGAAAATTCGGGATGGTAACTATAGATTTTTCAATGAACCCGAAGGGATGTTTTCAAGAGGGAGCTCTTGGAAGAGTCAGATTTTTGTTGTCTTAAAACAATCATACTCTTCGCTCTCAAGCTCTGTCTTATAATATTGTTTCACCTACATTTCACTTTTCATACTTAGTTCCTTAATACATTTGCTACTTACCTCAGGAGTACATTCTAAATAAAAATGCAACTTTCTTCTTGCTCTGGAGCTAGAGCTAGACAATGTAGGGGTTCTTTCTTCCATTTCCAAATAACTTTGATTCCAAGCAAACCTCTTAGTGTCTGTGGCGAAGGAATTGTGAACATCTGTAGAAGATATTTCTTCGTATCTTCCCAAGTTTTAGGTGAAGTTTAACATGGAAATATGAGAAACAAAGAAGAATAAAGATATTTCACCTTATATTCAAAATCTTATAATAGCCATGGGGTTTTGGGGTTTTGGGGTTTTGGGG